TTATGCATATTTGTTTCAGTATGAGTTGTTGTTTTGTGTAAAAGATCGACATGATCCAGCTGTTAGCATAGTGAAACAACTCATGGACCGTTATCCCGCTGTGGATGCTCGGATATTCTATGGTGAAGAAATTTGTTCGAAATTGTTTTCGCTTCCTTTTCTATCCAAGCTTTTTAGGTGGTGAAAATGTGGGACTAAATCCGAAGATTAATAATATGATGCCCGCTTATCGTAGCGCAAAGTATCCTCTGTTGATGATTAGTGATTCAGGTGGGACATTGGATATAGTTTTTGTGTTATGCGATAGAATACCTGTTTGACTTTTGAGTTTAGCATACGTACTTTTTTTTTGTAAATCACTATCTTACGCCAGCAACTTAGACTATGGTATTTATGCAACATTTTCTCTTTTATTGAAAGTTTTAAAGGCATAATGATGCGATCTGATGCCCTTATGGATATGGTAAACTCAATGACAGACGACGTTGCACTGGTCACTCAAATGCCTTACTGCAAAGACCGCGAAGGTTTTGCGGGTACCCTAGAACAGGTGATTTTTAGAAATATTATTACCAGGTACTGAGCCCTTACATTTTTGTTTAGATTTACTTCGGGACCAGCCATGGAAGAATTTATCTAGCTGGGAATTGTCTTCAGTTTGTTTGCTCAACCGGGATGTCTTCTTTAATGAGAAGATTTGTGTTAGATGAGTGTGGAGGCCTAGCGGTACGTTTTACATAAAACTATCATTTATTGTACTCTTCCTCACCAGATTCTTTACGTATTTACAAATTTCGAATGTTTCGGTTTTCTAGCGGAACCTATCTATCAACGTTGTATTGTGATTTTCTATTAAATAAGCTACGTAAAATATCTCCTTTTAGGCATTTGGTGATGTTTTGGCCGAAGATTACTTCATTGGAATCGAATTCAGTCGACGGTAAACTCTTTCTTTTGAATTTTTTCCAAATCGATCTCTGCTACGATTTGAATATAAATCTAATGTTTGGGACTTTTGAGCATGCACCAAGTTG